CAGCCTTTGTCTGGAGCTCTTGACTGCTCTTTTCTATAGTGAGTGAGTGAGTGAGTGAGTGAGTGAGTGAGTGAGTGAGTGAGTGAGTGAGTGAGTCAGTGATATGTTGTGAAGTTCTTATGAGATTGTTAAGTTCTGTTTTTGCAACCTATTTTTTGACACAATTGATCATTTCCCCGTTTGTTGGACTTACTGTTTATTCTCCACCTGTGCAAATAAAAAACAAATGCTGCCATCCCTTGTGTTTGGCTTGGTAGATCTCGGCATGCCATCAACTTCAAAACTAGATCTTGGTTTAAAAAAGGTTGGGCACCCCTGGTCTTAAGTGTATCAATATGATTAAGTAAATGCAAAAAGTGGTTGCATTAATTTTTTGGTGTAGAAACATACTTTAAAAAATGTGCTCAGGGGATTCTGATCAATTTGAACATCAGAATCACAAAATATATTATCAATAATATCGAAATCGGCCATGATGGGCATATCGGTATTGAAAGGCTATATTTATTTCCATGTAGGATGCTGATAGAAGGGTGGGGGTGAACTGTGGGTGTTTAAGTTGAGCAGAGAAGCAATATCAGCACTGTGGTCAGTCTGTAATGGAGTCTAAGGTGAAGGGAAATATAGAGTAATGGTGAAAATCGATATCGGCACAGATTCTCATGGGGTGCATCCCTAGTTTGGACTCAAACCTCCTGGTTCACCAGCCTGATTATTAACTAATTATGGATTCACAAACCTCCCCTCATGCTTTGCCCCTCCGGGGCGGGGCCATCTTTGACTGGGGCAGAATCTCCATCCATCATCCTTCCTGCAATAAAAACAAGTAAGAGAAGAGAGAGACTTAAAGAGTATTTCTTACTTAACTAAAACCAACAGAACATTTTAATCTGTACAGAGATGAACGTATATCATCCTGCAGAGAAGAACATTTGGCTGCTTCTGTTAAGCAAAATTCTGGTTCTGCTTTTGTCCTAAAAACTAAAGCATCATGCAGAGTTCTGCTGGTCTGAGAGAAGATCTGAGGTCCAGCTGCGAACAGCTGCAGACCCAGTAAACTGTTTCTATCCTGAATAAGCTGTGCTGCTCTGAGGTGTGGAGATGAAGAAACTGGGAAACATGTTTTGGAAATGTACAATTGTGCAAAGAGTGTGGACCTTGATTTTACCATGGTTAAATTAATTATATATACCTGTAATTTAATATGAAAAGATTGCATATGGACTATTTAAGGGATCATGGGAAAGGAATGAAATGTACGAGTGGATAATGGTGAATTGTATAAAAGATGCACTTTGCAAAGCAAGAAATATCAGGATTTTTAAGAGACAAGAAGTATCTGAGATTATAGTTCTAAAAAGTATTGTTAATTTAGTGAAAGATTATATGCTGAAAGATGTTTTTTTTTGCAGAAAACAGGGAGAAATTAGGTTAGAATGGAAAGTAGCAAAAATCTACTGGTTTATGTTCAAATAATGTCAATCTAGAATTTGATTATATCTTTATTTTATTTATTTGTTTTCGGCACAGCAAGCTAAAAACGACATCAAAGCTTGTTGAAAGTGTGATGTGCCTTTTGTGATTGTTGTTTTTTTTCTCTCTTTCTGAGCTTTTCTAATTTAATCTCAAAAAGAACAAATAAAAATGTTTGAAAAATAAAAAAAA